CCACTAATCACAGGATTTAACAACTCGATCGCTCTACGGATTAGGCACAATGGTATAAACTCGGATTTCACAGCATCTGAGATTTCTGTGTGAGTGTATGTATGTGCGTCGGAAAGAGAAAAAGAAAGAGAGTGAGAGAGAGAAAGAGAGAGAGAGTGAGAAAGAGAGAGCACAATAGATAAGAAAAAACACACTTTGTGCAGAAGAGAAGTTGTCGATAAATCCTCATATAGTTTGTAACAAGAAAGCAACGTTGCAGTGTTTTGCAACAAATAAATATCTCTATTTTTATACGAATTCCTAGTAAACCTATAATAATATAGAAGCAATTAATAGAAGATTTATGTAAAGATAATTTTATTTTGTTTCTATGTTACACAAAATTATGAGTAGATCATTTTTATATTTCAAAAATTATTTTTAGTGATCGAATTGTGTATGTATAAGGACATGTTTAATATAAATACATTAATTTATATAACCATAACATTTAAATTAAATTTTAGTAATGTTACACTGAAAATGATCAAAGAAAAAGTCGAAACGTTCGTATTTATTTGTTAATATATAATATTTATAAATTGCGCAATAATTACTGCGTATTGCCTCTTTTATTATTTGATTTTGATTTACTAAAGAGAGACTCCATACATTTTTATTTACAATATTAAAAATTCGCGACGTCATTATATTGCTGATTTTGAAAACACGCATCTTTTCGAAGGATGCAATGCTCTAATCGCACAAATAATGGCCAAGGTATATCGAAATGAAGCGTAACAAGCTGTTAGCCAAGAAGCTTCCCCAGGTTCGCCTCGGGGATAAAGTGAAAGAATACGGAGATGAGGCTCGCGGTCGGTACATGTTCCGTCGTTCCTCCAATTTCCGGCGTTCAGCCGGCAGCTCGCGCGATTTTGCGAAACGGCCGCCTCGCAAAAAATTCCCGACACGACTCCGCACTTTGCCCGAGCGAGACGAGTATATCGCTTCCCCGGGACTGCTGCCGGGAATCCCCGTCGCTTGTGACCGAAAATGGCTGGTGATACCAGCCGGGGATTTCAGAAGCTTGAAGTACAGAGCGATGGAAAAATAACTCGCATGAATATAGACACGATTTTTCTCTCCAATACACACATACATATCGTAGGATATTATACATAAATAATCATAAAATAATCCTTACTTTTATAAATTTATAGCTATTTCATCAAACTTTCAAAAAAATTGGTTGTCATCCAATTCTACTATAAAAATAAAAATTTGCAAACTTTTTGCTTCATTCAGTAATAACTAACTAACGTCAATTTTTATCTTTTGTTTGATTAAGATTCTAAATTCTTTTAATGGCAACAGTACAGAATGTCAACAATCTGCAGAGTTGGCTGATGTCCTGCTGGAAAACAAGGGATTGACAGTACATAATTTAATGGAATTAAAAAAATAAATAAAAAAATATTGTTCGGCTGGAGATGATTAAAGATGGCGGACTTTCACGGGTTTGAACGTATTGATTTGTAACCTCGCGCAAAAGTCTTTGCGAATAATGACATTTCCACCCCCGAGCAAAATAACATCTGTGCCGACATCTGTACAGGGTTGTGGCAAGCGGTGATACCAGAAGTTTCCTGCAAGTTTCGCCAGATGGCGAAGGTTGACGCGTTTTCCACCCTTCCGCATCCCGGGGTGGTTTATCACCCCCGTCTTTCGCGTCGCTCGCAAAAGAAGCCGTTTCCGTGTCGCAGGCGGGGAGGAGGAAACGAGCAAGGGGGGCGAGGAGGGGGGCGGAAGAGAGAGTATCGGTCGATCTTTAGGGAGATTTTCGTTGATTTACAGCGCCATTATCGATGCTGCGCTCGCTCGCGTCAACCGGGTTTCTCCGGGCATATGGAGACGCCGTAAAAGGGCTGTAAATCCATTATTTACACGAGCATGCGAACCGACTGGAAGAAGGTCGCTCTTCGAGGCGCCGTGAATTACGGGGACCGACGTTTCTGCGCGCATCGCGCGACGCCTCATAAATATTTATCCACGTACCGGCCAGAAGCAACGCACCAATAAAACTGATTACGTCACGCGATAAAAACCGTTTCGCGTATGGGAAATTGATTTGTTCGTTGCGATCGGAATTTTTCCGTGCTAATCCAGATCTGAACAAACTATTTCAATGAATAGTGTCTCGATTAATCCGCCGATATATATTTTGCAATCTTAGTTTTTAATGGAGAACGTTAGTCTTTAATGGATCTAACAGATATTTTATTTCTCGCAAACAACACTTGGAACATATGTAATTAAAAAATTAATTTATATCCTATTTATTATGTTTGTGCTTTATTTAGTTATCCTTTATTATGTTATCCTATTACTGAGAGAAAAGTGTTTGGTATATTTGCAATTAGAATTACATAATAATAGAATAATTATGATTAAGGTTTTTCTTTTTATAGTTATTATTGCTATAATATTAGTAAAAGTAATTTTATGTGCATAGATCTTTCAATTATGATCGTTTTCACCATATTTATAGTGTATAATCTTACTACACTATACATAAATCACAGGTTATAGTGTATGAAACCGTGTGAATGGTTGAATAAATGCATGTTAAAGCTATGACAATACATAACAATAATAATGTAGTATTGAGTCAACATATGTTAAAGCTGCATGTTAAAGCTTTGACAACATATGGCAATAATAATGTATTATAGTATTGATTCAGCTATAATTCGCATTGTAAAAACAACTATAAAAATATAGTTGTACCAAAAACAACTAAAAATTATAGTGAAATTGTGGTAACTGCAACTACTTTTTTCTCTCAGTATATTTAGTATAATATGTTTATTTGTCCTGTTATATTCTACATCTGCACTTATTTTATTTTCTATTTGTATCTCAGAAACCCCACAATATTTGGTTTCAACAAATTGTCTGCACGTTTTCTTGAGCGAACGGAAATGCATCTCGCATAGGCGACCTTCATAAACGTTTCGAGCAAGTTACGAGGGTGCGTGCGTTTTTTTTATGGCGAAAAATACATACCATCGTTCGGATGGAGGGAATAGTTTTCCTTTTATTAGGATATAGCTTCACGCGAAGTAATTTATGGCGGCGAATGGCTTCGTTGCACGCGCGCGCGAGCCGCGCTCACGTGACGCAAGATGAAAATATCTCCGCGTATGATTCGCGATACATCAATTTTATGCAGAATGCATCGGATCGATCCACCTTTCAATTTTCATGTAAATTTCGTGGCGATCGCGTGTCCCTGTCGCTTTCTCTTGTTCTCCTGGCGCCTGTTCCGGCTCGAGATCGCTATGATGTATAGGACCCAACGGAGAGATGCGAGCGTGGACGACGCGATTGTGCGGCAACTATCGTAGTGTCTCCCGTACAAGAGAAATGAGATAGAATATTTGTCCGTTACAATGTCGCCTGTGTTCCATAAATATTATGGACTCCGATATGCGAGACTCTTCTTCGCCTCGTCTTCTCCTTTTCTTCTAAAGAAAATGCATACTTAGATAGCTTAGCTAAAATAAAAGTATGATTATACAATACTATGGCAATGCAGCAAAGTTATATTATATTATAAATTATTTATAAATTATTATTTAAAGAGCGAAACAAATATGCAGTCGATTGGTGTAGCTTTGTTATTGTTTAAAATATTTCTTCTATTTTAACTACACATTCACTATTCTCCAACTTGCTCCAGAGAGGCTCTTAAGTATTGATAAATCGATATTCACACCGTGAGATATATAGGACGAGTTGTCGTTGTCAGAAGGGAGAGGCAAGAAGATTCGGTAGGGAGAATGTCACGATCGAGTGTCTTGATTTATCGAGATGTATCGAGTGCGCGCCAGCCGTTCTATCGAGCGTTTCGGGAGGAAATAGGAGATACGTTAGGTTCGACGAACGGCCGTCGGTGATAATTGAAACCGTTAATTAAATCTCGGGATAAGCGTTGCGGCTAAATGAGTTTTTAGATCGCCGCCGTCTCTCGAAGTCGCCAAGGGATGAAATCTCTGCTATTTCATTCCCGATGTGGCCCGTCACGTAATTTATATATTTATGTCTCTTTCCTTTATATCGTTCAGAAAAGACCTTTTAAATATATATAATATATTATTTTATATGTATATAATATATTAAATATATATTTATTTTAAAATTTAAACATTCAATATTTTTTGGCAAAAAATAAATTTAGTTTCATAATAATTTTCTTTCTTAGAAAATAGATATTAATTTTAGAACAAATAAGAAGTTTTATTAAATAATCGAAATGTAGTAATCCGTTATACATAAAACTGATAAATATCGACACTCATATCACTGACAATCGCGTTTGATCTGCCGATGCTATCGTCGCATTCGACGGATGGAATGATTTACTTACAATCAGCGGACAAATTCGATATTCAAATGTCAGCAGAAAGTATGGCGGAACGGATTTCCCGATAAATCTCACAGAAGACTGTCGTCCCAGTCTAATTTGCGGATCGTAACGCTAAAAGGAAACTACGTCGTTCGAAAGGTGGAGGTGGAGAGAAGAATTTATAGTTACCTTAATATCGAAAACTCACTGTGTGTGAATAGTTCGCAAGGAGGGTGATATAAATTTCGGCTTCTAATCCCCTGCTTCCATTTTCGCCGAACAAACTCCGGCGATAATTTTTCGCCTGATGTAAATCAGAGATCCTCGAGGAGCGTTCCAGGGAGGATCCGAAAGCTTCTTAAATACAATTAAAAAATTACCGTCGCTGCGGAAGATAAAGTATTGTCGATCGCCCAAGAATAATGTCGCGATGGAGATTTTATCCTTACTCGTCAATTAATTTGAAAGAATCCTTCGAAGAAAAAAACTGAAAGATTTATCTTGCAATCAAAAAATCATAAATATTAATAACGAGGGGAGCAAATGACATTTGCAATGTAAATATTTGTACAGTTATAAAATGTCTAATTTGTTTATATATATATTGTTTCAGGTCAGAAATCTCTGAAAAGATATCCGGTTATGATGTTCATCCATGGTGAAAGTTTCGAATGGAACAGCGGTAATCCTTACGACGGTACTATATTGGCGGCTTACGGCAACGTCGTTTTTGTTACGATTAATTTTCGACTTGGCATCCTAGGTGAGAAAAACGTAAATTTGTTAAAGAATCACAAATAGATACAAAGATCATTGTCAGCAGAAATAAATTTCCCTTCTTTGTTACTCTAGGCAGAAAGCTGTCGATCGATCCACCGAGCAGAAAAGTTATACTAACGCCTAATATACTTTACTGTGTACCGTGCTGTATAAATAACTTTGTTACGGTTTGTCGTTTACCAAGGCTGCCGCCTGCTTCGCAAACTTCCTATCTAAATTTTTATCGCTTCGAGCTTTTCAATATTGGACTTCGCCTTCAAAGAAAGTTTACCGAGGTCACGCGGTACGAAGCAGTAGATTTATCATGTCACCGGAAGTGTAAATGATACTCTCCGCTGTATCGGCTTAATCGCATCGCAAATAACTACTTAAAATTAAAAAAAAAAGAGCGAAGCGCTCTTGGGTGCTTGTAAAATTCGTGGGAGTAACATAGATATGTAACGTGAAGATGTTTTATCTTTCGGATTGCTTGAATCAGTTTTAAAAATATTCGTATTCATGCGAGCGATTTAACAACAACGAGGTCGTGCTAGATTGCGGCTCGGTACTTTCTGGTATGAAAAAACGTTAAATTATTCCACGTATTATCCGGGCGTGCACTTTTCTCATTGTTACGTAAAAAAGTATATAACTGATGTGTAGCAATAGTATATATACTTCTCGCTGCACGAGGGCGGTCATGCGAAAGCGTCATTATTCAAAAAGTTCGTTAAAAACTGCCATCCAGAAGCGCGTGGCACCGCATCGCGCGCGGCACCTGCACAATCCGAAATTGTCGTGTACAGTGGTCGTCCTCGAAGGGGTTAACAGCGAAATTCCGGCAATCCCTTCTCGCGAGATGACAGCGCGACGCGACGCGGCGCGATGCAAATAGACGAACTAGTGGTGCAGCGCACGTGTAACGCGCGCGCGCGCGGGTGTGTGTGAGGGTACATTCGGTATATCCGGTAAGTGGAGTGGTTGGCGGGAAGAAAAAAAAAGGCGGACGCGAAACCATAATCATAAATTAGGTTAAAGTGCTGGGGAAGCGCTTAGTAACCCCGACCCGCTCTAGGCAGCTCGGAGTTAGCCCATGAGAAGCCTGCAGATAGCTTCAACCCGCCCTGCCGCCGCCGCCATGTCCGCCCTGCGCAAAACAGGGGAAAAATATGGTCCCGAGCGCGCGAGAGGCGGCCGCCGAGCAAAAAGAGCCTCGGCGATCGCGTTACCGCGCGAAAGTGCTTTATGTTTAAGCACGAGGGGAGAGAATTTTGCATCTCCACGGAGCTAATTAATTGGGACACTGAATACACGAGTCCCTCAGGGGGGATCTTGAAACCTGGAATCCCAGTTATTCGAGATCCCCAATAAGAAATAAAAAAAAAAAAAGAAGAACAAGGTGTGTCTCGAAAGCTTTCAGGTTGTCGAGCGGCTGAGTATTTATGGGACTTATTTTAATGAGCTTTATACTTCTTTCTTACGCGGATTCTTGGATTTTCAGGTTCTAGCAGGTCTTACCGTCTTGAAAAATTCAGGGATACCTCTCTTGGATTATTCCTTAATGCGCGAGTTTGTAGCTCCTTGACTTTTTAGATTCTTAATTGGATCAATAAATTCTCACTTCGTTATTTGTTTAGGATTTTACGGTTGTTTAGGGTTCCAAGTCACTAAATCTCAAGATTAAAGATTTCAATTTCTTATATTCTTTATAGTTTCCTCAGTTTTTCAAAATAGTTATTATTTTTTAATATTTTAAAATAATTAAGTATTTAATAATTAAGAAATTAAATGTTTTAAAATAATTAAATAATTTCTGTAATAACTGCGAGACTTTTGTTGCAGGTTTTCTGAGACCTGGAATTAGAGATGATACAGCAAGTAATTTCGGACTGTTGGATCAAATAGCGGCACTGCTCTGGTTAAGGGAAAACATTGCGGAGTTTGGCGGCGAACCTAATAGCGTTACTTTGATCGGCCATGGAACTGGAGCTATCTTTGCCAATCTGCTTCTAATTAGTCCAGTTGCTAACAAAAAAGGTAAGGGAAAGAACGAAAATTTATATATTTATGGGTGTTATATTATAATCGATTATGTTAGTTTTCTAGTCCCTTTTATAGAGCCTTTCTTCCTTGATGTTTCTTTTCCATAGTTCAGTTTCCCTTTCCCGTTTTATCGTCATTCGATTCTCGCTAATTTCTGCCAATCGCTCCGGGAAAGAACTCGAACATCCACTCGTAATAATACTCTCGCTCGCAAGAACCGAAGGACTATATGCAATCCGAGCTAATCCCTCTCTTCGCTGTAATTGGAAACATTATCCATAGTCATAGGAACGTACTGTGATCGCATATAGGGATCACGATTCCCGAGTCAGCGAGAGATAATCGTGGGATTAATTGGAGGAATCAGGACGCGAGAGAGATAGGCATACGTGCCGTGCACTTGTATTAAAGGCAATACACCCACGTGTATACGGTCGAAACAATATTCGATCGGTGTGCGCTTTCGAATGAATGATTCATTGGTCGTGAAAAAATTTACGCGGAATTTGCGATTAAAACTAACAGGGAATATTTATTACAGTGAAATTATGGAAAAGCAATAACTATTTAAAATATAGTCATGCGTTTAGATAACTATTGAGTAATTATTGGATATAACTAATAAAGCTGTTAGATTCCTTACTAGTACCAGTGGTTGTTTATTCAGATCTCAACGACTTCGATTACTTCTTTCAAGTTTCCTCTTTTCCGAGTTAGGAACTTGCATTGTGATATTTCTGAGTTTGACAAGGGACTAAGAATCGCTAGTCTACACGTGTTCAATGGCGAGCGCACATCGACCACGAGCACTCAAGCACTCTCGACGGGCGCTCCGGCGAGGGTCAGCGAGAACGAGCAAAAGCAAGAAAGAAGATGTCGACCATTTTTCACTCGACCGGCTCGCAATGGCGGCCGGGAAAAGGAACTTTTCTCTTCCGGCCGGGCACACAATGCCGCCACGTCCGGCCAATAATTATATTGTGCAATGAAAAATAACCGGACTTAATATTTTACACGTCGAGACAGAAATGCCCGTTGCCATGCCGAGGGTTCTCAAATATTGGTGCCATTTTATATTTATAGCGGCACTCCTTCTTTATCCACACATGACAGAAATGTGATCATTTGTTAGACCATAGTTGGAAAATACAGCATTGTTATTGTCAAGAAAAAAAGGTTGGCGTATAACAAATAATTTATGTATTATATGGGTGAAACAATTCTATGAATTCCTTCTTTAATTATGATAAATGATCCTTAAAAGCTTAATTTTAAATGCAGAAATTGCTTATGTGGAGAATAAATTTAAACAAATTAATTTTTTACAATCTAAAATTTGAGAATTGTTAATGTTAAATAGCTTAATTGTTAATCAGTTATACCCTTATTTTGTTGGTGCAGGATTGTTCAAACGGGCTATTCTGATGTCTGGATCAGCAATGAGCGCGGACGCCATCGGCAAGGCGCCATTGCAAATTACCAAGCAGGTAAAGAAAGACGCCACTGCATAATAGTCGCGAATAAAAACGCGAGATGAGGATTGATGTGCTCAGATTTCAGTTTTGCGGAATGACAAATCGCTACACGCGGCATCTATTATCATTAATTCTATGATTGACTTAATTTCAGAATTTGAAAGACCTCTACATCTTTAGTTTTTCTCGATTTTATAAAATCCTAAATTAGATGCTATAGATTCTCGAAACGTCGAATCTTTTTACACGAAGAATTCGCTAAATCTTGGATTTCTATGATTCTGAATATTTTTTGGAGAATATTAAAGATAAATTTTCAGATTATGTGTGTGTAATGGAGTAGCCCATTTTTTCATGAATTATAGTCTTAATTTATTTTGATGTAAAAATGTTTGAAACTTTTCGAATTTTATATGTTTGAAATCGTTAGATTCTTATTTTTTTGTTTTGCCCTATCACCTCAAATCTCAATCACTTGAGACTCTTCAAAAATTGATGTTTTTGGACAATTTAATATTAATTATTTGCAATTTTTCTAATTCTTTTCTATTCTTCAGTCTTTTCTACCTCTATTTCATATATAATTCTTTAAGATTCGGTTGATTAGATCCAGCTTTATATACGATCAAAGGTCCAAAAGTGAGGTCCATACAGACCATGTAACCTTTAAGAGTGAATTCTTGATTAAATTTGCTCTCTTTGACAATAAATTGAGTTTTTTTTATTTAAATGTAACTTTTGTAATATTATGATTTATGAATTTTCAAACTCTGAATTGTTTGAATTCTCAGACATTTGCTATAATCTTCAAAAAATTCCGAAACGGAGGAATCGCCGTTTATCACAGTTTTTACCGCGGTAACGTATGTTTCAACAAACAGCGGGCGTCGTGTTTCTGCTCCGCCCCGCGGATTTGAATTCGAACGGAAAGACATATCGTTGCTCGTCACGGCGAAGAATCGTTACACAGAGTTACATCGATCCTGAGGAGGGTACAGGGTCGTTGGCCGCGTTCATTGCGCTCTCGGTGAGCAATGGCAGGGATCGTTTTTCAGGTGGCTCACGCTCTCAACTGTCCCACCATCAGCGACAGCGAGCTGGCGCTCTGCTTGCGCAACCAGGACGTAGACAGGCTGCTACATGTGAAAATCCACAAGCCGAAATACGTGCCGGCCTACGCACCGCTGATCGACCGTGCCGTCATCCCCGACAAGCCGCTCAATTTAATGGAGGACGCCCAGCTCTTCGGCAGGTATACGATTTTTGGGGGATTTTTTTATTGAATAGTACACAGGAAACAAAATTGATCTAATGATCAATTTTGTATCCATGTTTGGTATCCTAGGATACCAATCATGGATATTAATCTTAATCAGGATGCTTTATTATTTAAAATAATAAATTACTGAAAATTAGTATGCGAGATATAGGTGGGAACTATCAATAACATTTACCGATGACTACTATTAATATTGCTAATGATTAATGGATTTTGAGATATATTTGTTCCCCCAAAGCATACAAAGGGATGGAAACATTGTGAGCAAATTTGAGCAAATCCTCCATTTATATTTGGCAAATTAAAAACAACAAACTGTATGTTGTTTTTAGGTTCGATCTGATGTACGGCGTAACGGAATCCGAGAAATTTCACATCCTGCCACCAGTTGCTTTGTTACACGGCATGCTTGATGGACAACGAGATGAAATCCTGCGAGACCATGCCAAAGTAAATTTACTCCGTGTGTTGAGTTCGTTTATCCCAATATGAACCAATCCTATGTTCTATTTATTTTCCTTCTTATTGGATTTATCTTTGAGACATTTTCTTTCCTTAGGGCTTCGAATCTCCGGATTTTTACGTTCTCTTCAGTTTTCTTCTTTTTCCATCAGCTCTCAGGTCCTTACGTACTACGCAGATTAGAAATTGCTGCTCAAGCGCTCCTTCAATTTCTAGACTCTTAAACAGATGTAATAATTAGGTTCTTTCATTACCGGATCTTCCCCATACCGTGTTCCCTCTGAAATTCTCGTAATTTTCTGTGTTATCAAAATATATCTTCAGGCGACGCACGAGCTGGAGCCGGAGCTGATCCTATCGAAAGTGTTGGAGCAGTACGGCGACTTCGCAAGCGGTTTCACGAAAGAGTACGCGACGAAGAATCGGGACATGGTGCTGGAGGCGCTCTCCGATAGTGGCACCGTGGCGCCGTTAATAATGACTGCCAATTTGCATTCAAGGGCGTACCCGAAGAGCTACATGTACGTCTTCTCGCATCCGAAAGCTATGCAAGACTACTCTGGTGTAAGTAGGTCTCGACGATACAACGAAGATCGATTATCGCGGGCTCAGACGCCCCTCGACAAAGCGAGACCCGACATGGAGCGGGAAAAATGTTGCACCGCTGCGTCAATGGGCGAGGAAAGGATGCGAGAAGGGTAAAAAGGGAGGGGGGAGGAGGGACGGTCTGGCGGGGATGATGAGTTAAAGTGCACTTCCTTCAACGCTCCAATTCGTGCAGTTTCATGCAACGTTGTTATTCGCCGATGCGGAGTGTTGCGGTCCTGAAAACGGAGGGCATTTTTCATCGCCCGTACTTTATCGGGCGAATCTCTGAAATGGGAAATTTACTTCTTCTAATTCTCTAGCCGCAAAAGAGAGGAGATAGGAAGAGGAAAGAAAGATATCTCCATTATGATTTTTCGCAAGAAGCGTAAGATTGTTTAGAGAGCAACGAGCGGAATGTTGGAAAGATTTTAGAAAACAGGCTCTTAGAATTAACGGATGACATTTCAAGAATTCTATCTTTAATAAGCCACTAATATAATAAATATTTAAAAGTTATTAACATTATTACTACAGAAATAACATCTCTAAGAAATTATAAAGGACGTTCTTGCTAATGTTTGCAATAATAGAAAATGGTATTAGCAACGGTTTCCGATCGAAATCTCTTAAAGGAAAATTAACTTAAAATTTGCCGATGAATTGAACGAAAGATAGGGCGCGGAATTTTCGGGGACGTCCCGACATATAGTTAGCGCATTGTACTCATTGTCCTAGGTTTTCTTAAGTTTCGGGAGGGACGAGCTGTGACCTAGTGGCGTCCATTGTGCTCACACAGTTCGCCGAGAGAAAAATCCGAGCTGCGAACCCATTTGGATTTCGGCCAACTATTTTTATCGCCGTTGCGTGCGCCCCGTTGCAACGACCACGCCATGCGGTAACCGAGAATATCGTTAAATTGAATGTACCTCCGGGTACAACGCGCCATCCTCACGTCAACAAGGATATTAGATTTTAAATCTGCAAATAGCGATTCGCGGTGTGCATCATTTCCATGTCAAGTTACGTCAATCTCTCTCTCTTTTTCTCTCGTAATCTCTCTCTCTCTCTCTTTCTCTCACTCATCGTCTCTCTATCTTTCTCTCGCTCTTGTATATACGTAGCGAGCGAGGTCAATGAATTTTAATTTCCACTCGTTCTCGTAAATTCTGCCTTTTATTGAACTTTACAAATTGACGCGTTTATAAATACGCTCGGTTTATCGCGCTAAAAATAATTACGATTCCGATAAATCTGAGAACTCGCGCCCAGGAAATTTCATTCGAAAATTGTTAGTGGGATTGATGACGAGCAAGTTGAAACTCGAAATAAACTTTAGTTTAACTGGAAAATTAATTAAAAATGGCTTGTTAGGTAGCTATAAATATTGATATATCTACATTTCTATATTTAAATAATTGTAGATACTTAAAAAGGCATTAGAAAAAATTAAAGAATTTAAATATCACCGAGAGAAATAATAATTTTATTAACAACCTACGAATTAAAAAGTTACTAAGAGATTTTAAAGTATTATAAAATTAAAAATGGTATTCTATATTTTTGAATTAAATAATACATTTTTAAATCCATATATTTGTTTTATAAAAAGATACATATTATCTGAAATAAATATAAATTATATTGAAAATAAATTAAATAATAAAAGTAAATAAAATATAAAGAGTTGTAAAAAGAGACACTGATAGTTGGATATATCAAAATGGAAATTTTAGAGGATATATGTAAAAAGAGAATAAAAAAGGAGAGATGGCCGCGGGAGGTGCGTTGAAAAGGAGTAACAACCTGAGCTTTGATATTTTCGAGTTATGCGAATAGCATATAGAAGTGTCGATAAAATCCGCGCTTCGGTATAAAAGCACATCCAGTGATCTCGTTATATTGCAGCAACAGCGTCAACACACGGTGCACGGAGAAGAGTTGCCCTACGTACTGGGTGTTCCATTAGGCAGCAAGTACAACTTACGGGGTCGATACGACATCAGAGAGACACTGTTCTCAGAAGCCATTATGAATTGGTGGTGCAGCTTTGCCTACGTCGGGTGAGTTACCGAGAAAAAGTATCTAGCCATAAACCTCTTATAAAATAACTTATACATTATAACATTTAGAAATAGTTAACTGACCTTTAAAAGTTTCTAATTAAGAAAGGTTTTAACACTTTTTTAATTACAGATAAATATTGACATTTTAATTATTCATTAATTTAAATTTATTTTCATTTTACTGTAGTTTGAATTATAGCTTAAGATTATAGATAATCACATTATACATAATAATAGGAATTAAAAGACATTAATTTATCTGTGATTTTTACAAACTGAAAATTTATTCCTCCTGCGCAACCCATATTTTTAAAAATATTTCGCGTTTTATTCAATGCAGCAAATTATTACTTGAAAAATGTAAATAAAATTTGCAGAACTAGATGGTATAGTGATTACGAGAGTTTGAAAAAAAAAGAGAATAAATAATTCGCGTTTATAATTTGGAAAATGATCGCAATGCGCATTAAAGTTAAATTAAAGTTAATATTAAAAGTTCAACATATGAGCAGGCGGCAACCGCGTAGAAACAATCGTATTTAATAACAAGTGGCGAACAATTGTTGTTGGGTGTTGACGCGAAAATCCGTAGTTGGTAAAGTTGGACTTTGTATAACGCACGTATCCGGAAACGTGATTTTCAATTAACTAAACATTCAGGCGTTTAATTAAACCAGGCGGTAATGTATTTTTCCGTTGCGCATTTGGAAACAACTGAAGTTTATAAGCACATCTCAATTCAAAAATAAACGATTTAAAACGATTTGCAGAATGTTATAAATTAAAAAGCAGATAAATTTGCAGAAATGGAATTTTTAAAAATACGAAATGTTCATTTATAAAAAATAAACTAATTAATTAAAGTTAAAAAATATATTTTATTAAAATAATAGATTATTTGAGGAACATACGTAAATTAAAAATAAATTACAAGTTTTACAATGCGTTTGAAATTAATTAAAAAATTACAGCTTTGGTATATTATGTTACAAACGCGGTTTTAGGTATAAAGTATAAACAAATTTAGTATACCTTTCAGAAGCGACATATCGTGATGCTTTTAATTTCAGACAAAGGCAGGCATTGTTATTCCAAATGCTGAATTACAGCGTTAACAAAATAGGTAAACAAACTAATGTCGGAAAAACTACAATGGAAACGCAATTTCCGATTGCGACATAATTTCATTTCTTACTGTAAATACGCACGGAAACCGTAATTTATAAAAACTGCGGAATAATCTCTTTCAAATTGTCGCCAAAGTAAGTCACCGATTCTGTTATCTTTCGGTTTGTATACCACAAATATACATGCATTATACGCATGTTCGGGTTTCGCTCCTGTATCGCGCTCTGCGCAATTTGACGCTTGTTATGCTGATGCTCGATACTGTCGAATTAACGATCCGGCGAAACGGCCCGTTTTAATTTGCGCGATGAAAGCAGATTATCCCACAGTTCCGAATTATTTCGATATTTCGTTTTATTCAACAAAACATTCCGCTTTATTTAGTTGAACAAGCCCAATATTCTCGCTGTATAAAGCCGCTTTGTTTAATGGGAAAATACTGCATTTCTAATTGTATTAAAAATTTATTCGCAATTGCGAGACGTCGAATTTTTAATTACGTTAAAAGTTTAAATTCAATTCATTTATGTCTTATTACAGTTAAAAGAATAAAACAAATCAAGATGCGAAAATTTGATGTTATATCCGAAATTTGTATCACGAGGAATATACTGAAATCATAAATTACGTGTTAAAATATCAATTAAAAATAATTGTTTTACATTTTAATTGTATGCTACTTTAACATTCGTACATACGGCATTTTATTTCTTTCTTTGCGGTAATTCGTTTCTTGCGGGATAGATACATCTGTAGAACTATATTTTGCATCACAACCCACGCTATTTTTTGTCAGACACTTTGAAAATATGGCTCGACTAGAACGCATACCCATGCATTACGATAGTGACAGAACTCAGTGAGAACTAGGTCAGCGCAATTAAGCAAAACAATGGTATTTGAATTTAACGGGGAAACGCTATGCGTTTGTGTAAACGCCGCACAGCTGATCGATATTTCATGCGTTACCGTATCTCGTGCCCCATAAGGGCGTGTTTCTTTGCCATAATAAACGACGCGCGGCATCTGTCCTGGAGCACCGTAGTCCGTGATAACGAATGGCGGAAAAACGTTGACGGTTTGCACTTTTTTTTGTTCCACGTTGTATGAACCACGCTGCCGTCGCGCATGATCGATCGGATACGTCGCGTTCAGTCAACCCGTCATTAAAAAATCATTTCCTCGCGATGCCGAAACCATATCCTTGTGCGCGCGTGCGGACTGTATCTTTAAAATTAATAAATATTTTTAAAAGTCAATGGCCCGCCGGGTAATCTGCTCGACTGCTATGTTACGATTCGGTATTTTAAATACCTATACAAGAGTCTATGGAATTTCACGATTCAATAAAGAGATTTAGATTTTACGAGTTTTTTAGATTTAATTTGCAAAACGCGCGCGTGCTGAACTTTTCATATAACTCTAAAAAGCGTTCTGAAAACTTGAAGTTTTATGAAATTGAATTCTATATGGGATTTAACTGCGCGATATCTTTACAATAACAGAAAGAAAACAGGTATCGAGAGTATCCCCATGGACTATTCCGGATTATCCGATATCTTCTTCTCCTATATCACTCCAATTTCCTGACGGTATTAATCCCAAGCCACTCTCTGTGCGGTTTAACAAAAGTTATTGGTAGCGTTTTCTACCGCGCCGCTATATTAATCATTCGCGATTATTTATCAAAGAAATTATTCGAATCCCCCCAGGAGTCCCAACAGCGCGAAGCGATATTCCTATCTCACTAACGTGTTCAAGGAATGGGGTCAGTATGAGATCGAGTGGCCGGAATATGATCCTGTCAATCAGACGTATTTCAATCTAAGTAAGTCTCGAAGCATCCAAGCGCTAACAAAAATGTAACAAAATATTATTGAAGGTTTCGAATTAATGTGTCTGAAATGAATCTCTGGAATTAATGGAATTAATCTCTCTCTCTCTCTTTATTTTGCGTCACGTGGTCGAAATAATAACAATAAAATAAAAATCTCCCACGTTTGGTTGAGAATTCTATTTTTTACGACTTATTTGGCATATGTTACGTAATATTCTCCCTCGCACGCAGCCATACCGCCTAACATAGGTGCGCACTACCGCTCGGCGGAGATGCAGTTCTGGAATGAGGACCTGCCCAATCTGCTCAGGCACCCGAATAAAGACATTTCGGGCCCGACACGACCGAGAGGACCGCGACCGCAGATTCTTGACTTTGCCGACGGGATTGGCAAGTATGCCAACCGTACTGCCAATCGGAAGTACGAGAGCTACGATACTGGGTCAGTAATAATTAATTTCATGCATTTGAAATTCTCCATCGCTTTATTGTCAAATGCACATCTTTATTTGGATGATCTTTCTGAAATTAATTTTATTTGTAAATTTATTTTGGAAAAAAAATAATAATTTTATAAAAAATTTGAATTTAAGAAATTTGTTTGATTTCGTATATTTTAAGTATACAGATTTAATATTTATACATTTTTTTCATGCCTTTCGAGAGTTGCGGGTTGTGTAAGATATTTTTCCAGCAGGTATACGTCCAGCAACACAGAGAAGACGCCACTTTCAACTGCAGTTACAACGGGTGGGAGCGCCGGGGAGGGCTCGTCGATAGAGCCGAGCACGTTAAGAACCTCGTCGGCGATGATGATGGTGATTGTCTTCTTCGTGGTGTTTATACTGATAAACTTCACCGCCTTCCTATACATCTATTATAAGAAGCAGAATATAAAGGGGAAAGAGAAATCGTTGAAGAGACGTGGCAGCGAGAAGAAAAACGATTCTGTCAAGAGGTCAAAAACTGATAAACACGAGAACCATTACGGCCAGATAGGCTACAAAAGCGACAGCAAGCCAGATTTGAACGACGTGATAAAGAACGACAAGGCATACGACAACAACTCCAACTTCGGGCGCAGATCGAAGCTATCGAGGCAGAATTCCAGCTCCACCATCGACACCCATATCAAGGTTAGAGAATGGATTCAGCAGGAGATTGTGCACAGGTCAGTGAATCTCGGAACAATGTTTTGCATAATTAATCTTTAACATTTCTCTCTTGCTCTCGAATATAATAAAATAAAATTGTGAAAAACATTTTATTGCAAATAGTTATAAATGTTGTATTTCCATTTCAGTATAAATACTTTTGTTTTTTCATTAAAATTGGATTAATTATAATTAATCAAATACAAACAGTTGTTGTAAAGATTAAAGTTTAAAATATAATTTGATTTATTTATTAATTAAAATTATTAAGCGCTCGGACCTTTTGAATTTTAGCTTTATTTTATTAAATTAATTATTCGCGGATTTCTTTAAAAGATTTCTGCTTGTGATACCTACTTTAAAAGAAATGCCATTTGGAGAATTATATTTAAATAAAATGGAATTTAATGTAATTTGCGTATTTTGGTTTAAGTTAAGAAAACAATTTAAACTAATTTATAGATTTTTATTAAATTACTCGCCATTTCAACGCCACTCTATTGTACGCCACGCGATGCTCTCGTAGCAGTTAACGTTTTGAACTCGATTTGTACGTCTTTCCTAATTGCGAAGAGAGCTGAAGATACTCGTAAAACGCTTACCCTCGCAAATTCGTCGATCGCGGTAAGGGGTTGTGCGACCCAGTAATCCAATTAGAGGGTTCCGCTTAAAGAGTGGGCTGCTTTGAGACGTGGCCCGTATCACTCAAATCAGAGAATTCAGTCCCCTTTCTCTCTTTCACTCTACTCGAATATTTCGTTAGATGTATTGACTCGTGGAAAAACGCTTGGCAAATGCTGGTCTACAAAGTTAATTGAACTCGACTTACAGCTCGACTTCCTACCTCGTTTATTTAACAAGCGGCATCTGGTTTGCAAATGACAATATTGTTTTTAGTTGTTGCCGTGCTAAATTTAAAAAAATAATAATAGAAAAAAATATAATTAAAAAAATGTTACGCAGATACAATAATAAAAAAAAATTGTTGTAAAATTTGTAACGTGTACAAATTGCGTGATAAATATTTTATAAGATAATTCCATTTGCAATATTTTGAATTCCTGAAAAAGAAAAAATTCCTTTTTTATTTTTGGGCTGTATCGTAATATCCACTACAATATGCAACATTGTTTGCTGGTAATGTAGCTGTAACATATGACGTATCGTAAAATTATATATCTGAAATATGTTTAATTACAAACCCTGCATTATAAAACACTGTATATATAAAATGAACAAATGTAGTACATCGTTAAATAAATGTGTTTGGAGCAAAGTACCTTTTTGCCTGTTGGCATAACGTACATACGAGATTAAAAGTAATTAATTAGCTTCGGGATGTGAAAGTACAACCGCTGTTATTACAGGTTGTTACCAAAATCGCAAAATTAATACGTACCTTTCATTCGCGTAATACGTAAAATGGTTTCCTATGATCAATAACTTCCTCCAATAATTGGACGCAATAACTGGTCTGCAGTTATAACAATTAGTAACATTAACGGTACTAACGTTGCATTTTACGTAGAGTTTACAAAAACATATGTTGTTATAGTAAATTGCATGGTAATTGCTACTTTCAACAAAATTATTGTTTCACATTTAAATATTTTACATGATGATGCTGATCAATATCCTCGAGCAACTTTTGGTTATAATCATTAATAAAATTATGAAAATAATATATAATTTTTAAATAACTTAAATTAAAACAACTTTGTAATTAAACTTTATAATTAATAATTATTGTAAAAACAGTATAAAATTTTTGAAGATTGTCTCTTAACGTATTTATTTTTCTGGTTTGTGTAGAAAATCTTTTTAAAAAATGTTTGTGAATTTGATCGAAGTTTTATCCTTCAGTTTTCTTTTGTTTGTATAGATGTTCGCCGAGGTTCTTACGTAAAACGCGAGAAACATTGCAGAAGGAGCATCAGGAGAAGCTGAGTAAACAGCAGCAAGAGGAGAAGCAACGTATAGAAGAAGAAGCGTTGAAGGAAAGAAAGGACGAGCCGATATACGACGAGAGTCCGGCGTTAGTGGTGCGCCCGGGAAAAAAGTCAAAATTGCCCAAAATTTCCGTGGCCATTGACGCCACTCCGGCGACCAGAACAGAGTCCATTCTGAATCAAGTGCCGATCGAATTAACGAAGAGTATCGAAACGACAAATGAATACGAGCCGAGCGCGCAACAGTTGATGACCCCCGAAGTGGTCGTCATAGAGCACCATCACTCCAGGAGCGATCCTCTGCCGATGGAAAACGTTTTGAAAACGATGAAACCGAATTTCTCCACTCCAAGGATTCACGAGACGTCGGATTCGGGTAGCGCGAGCAGCTTGTACGCCAAGATTAACCCGAAATTGAAGTCTCGCTTGCCCCGTCCTGGTCTGGGAATAAACGCGGAAGCGTCCGCGTTGCCCGAACAATCGAGATACGAGAATCCGCACGACGAGGAGATCTACGTAAAGACCGGACCGATCTTGACGACCTTCGGCACGAATGACGTAAATGTCACGTGTCAAGAACCCGCCGCGGAGAGAGAGTGCATCAGTCCCGAGGAGGCCTTGAAGACGATAAAACGTCGAAACTATCCCAAAGTGCTGCCGGATATCGAGAAGAGGCGATCGCTTCCGGCGCCGAGCAGCCTCTTCGTGCCGAAACAGTACGCGAATTCGTTGCAAGACTACAAGAACGGTAATCGCGTGAACTTGTTCTCGAATCAACCGCCGTTACCGCCGCCGAGAATATTTCGAACCTCCAAGAGCTTGGAGAAGAGCAGTTTCTTCGCCGAGGAAAACGAAAGCCAGATCGAAAACGAGCCGATCACTACGAACCTGCACGTGGGTCCGTTGCTAAAAAGGCCGGACTCCGGGCGAAATAACTCCGATCCGAACATAATCGATTCCTTGGAAGGAAATAGAGGTGTCCAGGCGGGCGGAAGTGTCGACGCTATTTATGCTAATCCAAAGTGCCCGCTACACGGGAGTCAATATCCCTTCTCGCCGACCTCGCAGAGCGTCGACGACGATATCGGCAAGTCTTCCGGACTTTTGGACGTGGGCAACCCAAATTGGTACAAACCGGCGGCAGCGGGCGAGTCGTCAGCTATAATGACGTCGACCGCGTCGGAACCGCAAATCGTGATCAGCAGCAGGGACGAGCGAAGCGCCATTGGCGTCGCGACGCCAACGACGGAACCGAAGATCGTGATCACGCCGAGAACGGTTAATCCGTGTCAAATCAACCGACAGCCGAGTCCAACGGCGCGTCCCGACGATAAGATCGATCACGAACCGCCGAGAACGATTGATCCGGCGCGAAATGCGGGATTATCGGAAGGTACAAATACTTCCGGCGCGGGCGGTTTGGTGATTTCGCGAGAAACGGAAAAGAGGGAGCCGCGGATAATCATTACGGCGCGGGAGCCGAGGAATTGCGCCCCGGCGGGCGGTCTCAAACACCCGAAGATCATCATAAAGCCGACGGCGACTCTACCGAGGAGCAGGGATCAAAGGAATATACCGAAGGTGTCAGCCATACCGTCGCCGGAACAGCAGAATTGTCAGAACAGCGAGCGAGATAGAGCTGCGCTGGAGCAAAGGGAAAAGCCGTCCCTGAGGGAGAAGCCGAGGGTCACGAGGATACCGTCGTTCTCACGCAGGCGGGAGGAGCCTGGTATTGAAAAGCCGTCGTACGTAGAGAGGACAGAAATCGCCCCGAGAACGGAGGCAGCCAGTAAAATCACAAACGCGCCATCGACATCCGACGCCAAGTCGGGCATACCTATGCCAGGGACAACAGCAACGATGACGCCAAAGAGCGAGAAGACCCCGAGCACGGACTCGTCGTCCGCGAGCAACGGGAATTCCAGTAACTCGAATACCGGTACGATCAAACGGAAGCCGGCGAACAAGAAATAATTGGCGGCAGCCAATTCGAGAGCGCCACGCGTTATATATCCCGTCCTCTATTTCGCGAACGACGCGTAGATGTAGATGAAACGCAGATGGGTCTCTATCATTCCGGCCAAGTGTCGATATACAGTCCTGATGGCGCCCAATCTCTTCCGCGATACATTCGCAAGTGTGTGCGTGCTCATAATAGCAACGAAATTAACAGAGCGCTATTTTCTCTTTACGTTCAAACTCTATTTAAATCGCGCGGTCTCTTTTTTGAATCTTTCTTTATTTATATGATGCTGAACTCGTCAAATCACAGGATTAGTCTCTTTAGGATTAACGGTACATTATTTATTACTATTCTAGATATGGACGTTGCAATAATGCATGTTATTATAACTATCTTTATTGTTATTAATTGCATCATGCTACTTTTCTATGACTATAATTAGAATTACGCGACAGACACACACATAATCTAATTGTATATCATGTAAATAATAATGCTGTGAATGTTTATGATACTTTGAATAGAGTGACGATATTTTTAAGATTTAGACTAGTGAAACGAGCTATATTATATGTCGACAAGACATATAAATCGCTTTCGCGAGCGTTTTTAAACTGGTTAGACGTCATGAGTTAGATGTTAATAATTTTCAAGGCATTTGCTCTTTTGTACGCCCATAACTTTATACGATGAAAATAAACGTTTTTCGTACTTTTCCAACAGAAAACTCGAAATGAGAGAATACATCCTATCACCGATTCATCTTTCCTTCCTTTTTTTTTTACATAAACGCCATGTATCCCGCGATGTTACATGTGTCTCGCAAACTTTGTTATTAAGTGAAGCGGGTCTATAAGTCGCTCCAGATGTAGCGGGGGGAACGGCAGGCTAAAATGGTCGGCGAGTTCTCACTTATATCATACCGATGGATCGAATTGATTTTCAAAGTTCGCCCGATAATGGGATTCTCCTCTCTAACGTCGCCGTGCGGAAAGGAAGAGGCCATTTTCACGGTGAACCCACTTCTACCCTTCCCGCAATCAGTCTGTCTCTCTATCGCCTGTCGTTCATCTCTTTCACCCTACTTTTCTCGTGTTTTCGTTTCATCTTGTTCTACGTCATTCGATCTGTTCAAAAGCGACAGCCTGATCAGAGTTCAAGGAGCGAAAAAAAGTCGGCAGAGGATTATAAATTATAAAAATATTTTCTATAGGCTCCAGACTCTAGAGAGAGAATCTATTCATTTCAAGGCAATAGATTATGATCTTTATAATATAATAGTTAATTTGTAATATATTTTTTAAATATATTCTTAATATTTAATATTTTAATTTTTTTATAATAACTGTAGGTTATTACAGAATAAATAATATATTCAATAAACATATTTTATGAGATTAAGTAATATTTTACTTTACAAAACACTTTACCGCTATATATATTCATTACCATTTTAAATAAAAATTTTAATATGATGTCTAATAATTGTTAGAAAGACTGTCCGTGATTCTTTTATGATATCTTTTTTCTCATACATACATTTTATTTATACCATATGTGTACCATAATTTTTACAAATCCATTGCCATTGAATTAAAATTAAAAAAAATAACTCACCGACTCATGCGCAACAGCGGAGTTGGAACTCTGCGTTGATCTGAAACACAAATATTTTTACATTAAAGTAGGGTTCAAGATAATCAATACTTGAAGTTAATAATTATATCGCGTCCGTCAAATTTTTAAAATCATTAGATATCTGATTTTAAAATGCTTATGCCCGTTCTAGACTGGAGGATGAGCCGACTCTCGGCTCATCCGCCTTCTATAGTGTACGTGACATAAACTATACATAACCTATAGATTTTTACCCGTCTACACCACTCACTCGGATGAGCCGAGAGTCGGCTCATCCTCCAGTCTAGAACGGGCATTACGAAAAACAATCGCGGCCACCGCACGTAACATGGCGTAGCGATATACGACGGTCGTAGTCCCGCAGGTAGACGCGACGAACGAGTGAGTGACATGGCGGAGAGAATTTCGTATTTCGTAAATTGCACGGCCAACTCGCCAGGAGCAACCGTCGCGAGGACGCTTAAATGTACGATGTTAACAGAGACCGTGAGCGATAATTAAACACGTCGCGGCGTCACTCAATTTAGGGTGCACTCGTATACTCTTTATCCGATGCGAGTCAAGTTGACGGTTGAGATAAGCGAGACCGAAAGAATGTAATCAAATGCGATATACCTCGATCGGTATCCGTATAAATCCGCAAGGCACGTGTATTAACACGTGTATGACCATTCGATATATCACGTTCGTAACCTCAACCACCGGAGTCCGACAATACGTGTATTACTCCACAGTCCGCGCTGTGATCCTAGAATTGCAGAACAATAATGTGGTAGAATAAGGACGCGCGCGCGCGACGCACCGCGCTCGCGGCTTCTCGTCAACATGAGCGCCGAGCGGTAGGGGCGGAGTGGGGGTAAGATGGCTAGACATGGCAAGGCGAACGCGCATCGCACTTTATAGTCACCTTGTCCGTAGTCTCTTTCCCTACTGTTCGTGTTGCCGCAGCGCGGCGGCGCGACTCCGTTCTACAATGCTACTTTTCTGTAAGAGCTGCAAGTTGATTGGCTTAAACCAAAACTCGGACGCAGTTCTAGCATCGTGGACACAAGGCTTATAACTAACGAATCGGCGGTATAGATTGTGGAAAACTGTGATATATTGAATGTTTATTTAATACACTTCGTGGAATTTATACGGATACTGAGGTACCGCATTCGATTACATTAATTCTTTGATTGATATTTCATGTGTCGTACGACAAATTTTTCAAGCATGTTAATTGGATGCAGGATAGAGAAGTTTTCGAGTTTCTAGAAATCCTTTATCCTGTAGCCAATCAGTACGCCTGACAAAGCTTATCGTACGACACATAAAATAACAGCCTTTCAGATGACACAGTTTCCGATAGGTTGAAAATTTTGTCTATTGCTATTTTGCTATCAGTATCGCCTAGCATTGTGCAAGGAGCTTTAACTTGACTCGCGACTCTCGCGTCGTGTCTCGTCGTCTCGTCTCGTCTCGTGTCGCGCGACCGGCGCGACTTCAGAATAAAGTTGCCGTCGTTTTTGGAGCACGCATGAAAGATAGCGGACCCTAAATCGAGTGACACCGCGACGTGTTTAATTAGCGATCACAGTTTTATTAATGTTTAACTTCGTATTTAATCGTGTTTTGATATGTGATCGTAGGGGATATAGACACAGTGTTCATAAATTGACGATTTAATTGTGGTTAACCAAAATCGCGTTACAAGCGGCAAGAGTATAGCGTCCTCGCGACGATTGCTCCTGGCGAGTGAAGTTGGCTGCGCGATTTACGAAATTGTCCCCGCCATGTTAGTGTATAGCTTCGTTCGTAGCGTCTCCATCGTAATTTTTTCGTTGCCGTGTAGCAAAGTACGCGCTGCGTCGCGAGATTAATACGGGGAGTGCCGTGCAAAGTATCGCGCGACGATATAATCGTTGATTTTCGCTCGACGCTCGTGAATGTCGTGAGTGAGGCCGCCGACGAAAATGTGACAACGGATCAACGGAGGAGAATTAATGAGAGGAGGAGGAGGCTTGGGAAGCATCGGGCGACGGCGCCGGCGGAGCAATCGTGAGGTGTGAGTAATTATTATTCATTTATTATTTTGCTGTCCTGTGATGGATTTCGCTACTTTCGAGGTTTAACTCCGGCGTAATTTCGGCCGGAGTTCGATCTTCCGCATATGCCGCAAATTCTTCGTAAATTACTCTCGACAGAATTACGTATTCGGAATTTCATGGCTCGTATGCGAGTGAGGCTCATCAGTTTAGCGCGCTGAACTGCAAGACAATCTGACAGCGATAACTCGGTCGTATCCTCGAATTTCGGGTATGCATCGCTAAGTTAACGTTTAGATGCCCGGTGTTGCCCTCTCTATATACCTTATGCACGACAGCGCGTAACCAGTAAGCGCGCACGACGAACGGGGAAGGCCTTGTACTCGCCATGACAGGTGCGTGACACTGCGTGACCCATTGTCAGAATGATATACTATCAGAAGTAACGGAGGGAACAAAAGCCAGAGATCCTGTCTTCTAGAGATGATGCTCCCCTCGAGGCTGGATTCCGATTTCTGTGGAATCACGATAATCGGGACGATGAATGACGAGCTTCATTTTCCATCTTTTAGATCTTTGCTAACTAAACAAGTTTTTTTTTCTGTATATCTGTAATATAAAAATTATGTTGTTGAAAACTAACGATTTAAAAATTTTTTATCAGTAAATAGAACATTGGTAAGAAAATCTGTAATAAACCTAGTTTTCGAAAAAATATGAATAAAAAACGTTATTATGTATAAATATTATAATATTTTTTATTGATATTTCTAAATAATAATTCTAAATAACATATATTTTGATAATTAAACAAAATTTTTATTAAAGTCAAGTAAAATAAAGTTACTGATACGGTTAAAATTTAAGGTAATAATTAAAAAACAATGTTTATAATAAAAACAATTGCTTATACCGTAAATTAAAATTAAGATAAATTATAATGGCTTGAGGTACGTTTACAGTTACGCTACGTAAGTTTGCAATCAGCGCGTCGATGAGTGGGGTGATTTCCGTATCGTGATTATCTGCGGCACGCGCGTCTAATTATCACACGATAATCAGCGATTAAGCACGAACCTGTGCGGCAACCTCATTACTATGCCTCTCGGACGGCGCGGCGTCGGAGGGACTAGTGTATTAGTAGATACATAATTTCGTCTTCTCCGTTCTGAACCAATTAATAAATTTGCACGGGCGCTGCCTGCCCCCGTAGACAAGGTCGGTCCGTCTATTTCCACTAGTGGCCATTGTTTCCGAGACAATACCAGCTACTTGGCAGTTAGAATACATTGTGCTGCTTGAGAGTTGGCTACTGAACGTGAGATGTCAGATTAATTAGATTTTGAAATGAATACACGACGTGTCCCTAAGTAACTTCTCTTCAATTACAATGCATGTGCAATGACATTAAAAAAAAATATTACAGTTTTAATAATTTTTAAATAACAGACAATTGTTTTAAATTTTTAAAATAACGTATGATTAATCACGATTTACTTTTCTCGCGTGTTCGGACAATCTTGATTAGTTCATGTTAATAGTTTAATTCCTATTAAAAAATTGTTCAAATGACGATCTGCTTTCTCAAATACAGTTTGTGTTATTTATGCAAGCAATATCAATTAAGAGCGGTGCGTGATTACAAATAAACATCGCGTATAATTCTATAAACGATCCCTCTTTCAGTTTTAAGCTGGGGTGCGGGAAATAAACGACAATGGTACATTTGGTGGAAATGACAGTAATCGAAGAGACCGCGCAGCCGTCCGCAGTTGTAAAAGTTTCCATTGGCGAGATTTGTAATCTCTATTGGGTCCGGGGATTTTCAATTTCCAAGGATTTTAAAAGCAAAGTCTCCAAGAACAATATCTGTACAATTTAAAAGGATTAAAGAATCTCAGGATACAAGATATCCCCTCTTTTCTCTCTCCCTCCCCCGAGAAATAAATAAAAATTCTTCGGTTAAAAAACTCCTGCAGGTTTCAGAAACTCAAAGATCTAAGATTGCAAAGGTATAAGAGAAGGAACATTCAAACGTCCGAGGAGATGGTTGAGAAAATTCTTGAGCAGGGCACAAACGAGAGACAGAATCTAAAGAAAACATCTTTAAATGGAAGCTTAATCTCACCTCGAAATAGCTCTCTGATCCACGAGAAAACAATTCAATGTCTGTGATGCGCCATATATGTCTGATACGAGGTCTGATAGCTGCCGGATGATGTTTATCAAGTTTTTTTTATCAAATGGCTTCACTTTTCCCATCGTCCCTTTTTTTCATTAAACGAATTTATTCAGCTCTTTTCACATCATATAAATTAAAGAAATTAAAGCCTTTTTTTAAATCAATATATCAAACAGTACAATTGTTAATAAATTAATTGTTTAAAACATTTTTACGAATTTTCACCGGATTACGTATTGCGACTGATGAGATGATGTTTTCCAACGTAATTAGCCGGGTACCAATACAGGCTCAGTAATTCTTTATTAAGAAAGTTCCGAAGG